CAAATACTTGAATAATTTGTTTCTCATGCTCCGTCGCGCAAATGCGTAGGGTAACAAATGCAAACTATGCAATAAGAGAACCCAGTGAGGCGATTAAGGCAGTTACCGCATAAAGGACCACGTGCAGCACATGGTGATGCACGCAAGCACTACGGGGACCTGGCCTATTTTCTCATTTTTACACGTTCCACACCTACACGATTACATTGTCGGGTTCAAAAAATAATACACCCATCACCGATAATGAATTTTTGATGGCGCAATTACCAATGACGAAAAAATATGAGAGAAGAATCTTTGTTGCGCTTTTGTTTTCAGTTTTCCTTTTGATTCCTTTTGCTCTCGGTGCTGGCGTGGTTGAGGGGAGCCGCGCGGCGGCGCGGCGTCTGTTCGTCTGTGCTCTCCAAGGCTTAGTCCTGAGGGGCCACTGTATTTCGAAACTGCGTCGCGGCGGCGATGGAAACGGCCCCTCAGGACTGAGCCTTGGAGAGCACAGACGAACAGACGCCGCCCTCAACTACGCTAGCACCTTGCTCTCTTTCTTTTCCCTGATTTGTGTCATTTTTTCCTACGGAAGGCATGTCGCTTTAGATGTATGAAATAAATAAATATTGAATTAATAAAACATAAAGGATAAAGCATTTGCCGTTGATCAATCCCGTTTTGGGATGCGGCACGCATTCTACTTCCATTTGTACATTCGTAGTGGCGTTTGAATGCGATGTGGCCTATACAATGACTTGCGGGGGCCAGCCGATGTACAAGTCAGTGTTTTTATCCTCCCAGACAAGTCTGGTACCAATTAACCGACCCCGGAGGGATGGAAGGCTTGGTTGGCCCGGGCGACTCACGACCCAGGATTTGATCCCCGGACCGCTCGCGTGGTAAGCGCGCCACTTGCCACTACACCACTTCCGCCCAAAATACGTGAAAAGCGGGGAATTGTGCACACAACAGCGGTCTGTTAACGTAAGGGACTCCAAACTCTTAGATCGCTAATCCGCGTTTGAGGTTTTCAGACCACAATCTGCGTAATCTGCTCCTCAGCCTGGGTCTCTATTTGGGCCGAATCTACTTGACGTAAAATAAACAGAGTAGCTTGGGTTGAACAAGAATAGGTAGCGAGGGCCTGAAAGAACGGCGACCGATGAGAAGAAGCATTTCTATCAACAAAAGTATAAGAGCGTTTCATTGAACACATGCTTTGGTGCGCTTGAATTATGTGGACCGTTAAACAATCTTTTTATGTATTTGCATTATAATCGATTGCCCTCTGAGAAGTGTATTGAGTGGGGGTGAAGATCTCGGCGGATTGCATTGTAGACTATCGCCTTTCACCCAACTATCACATGTCTCTAAATCAACACCTCGCAGGTAATCACATGCTCTTACGAATTCTGTCCAAGCGGACAACTCGTCCATAGTGTTCGATTAAGAGCTTGAATGATCGAAACGAACTCTTTGAAGCGCTCGATATCTCTCTCAGGGATATTGATCGTAACATGTCTCGAACAGAACAAGAGATTTTTCGTCGTTGTCGAGATCTCGAGAGATTTTCCGTGGCAACTGAATATTGACATTCTCTGTCTACCGAAAACGCTATCGTGACCGATTTTCGGTTTGTCTGCGATGTAGGATATCAGAGGTCCGAGGGTCAACCATACCTGTCAGTGGACTACTTCAGAGAATAGCTTCTTCAAGAATTAAGAGCAAAAAGCTGTTCTCTTTTTCATTTCAATAGTTTTTAAAATAAGTATCATGTTATTCATTTTTCGACCTAGGCTCAAGGACAAAACGCTCGATAAAGTTGGTGTTCGGAAAGGGAAAAGTGGGTAGTAGAGAAGACGCTATTGAACATCACTCATGCGATAAATGATGCTGCGCGCGTTACAGAACCCCAACTATCAAAATAAGGTGCAAAAAAGTATCCAAAGTAACGCGTCGTGGACGAGTTGTCTGGTTTTCTTCTCAGAAGTGCCTCTCGTATCATGCCGCCTCACCTTTAAATCTTGCTAATTTCTGCTTACGCTTTCGTGTATTGTGATTCATCAGCGCAGTAATAGTACATATTATTACAATGATAATATATGGAATAACTACTAATGATGTGATTACAAAACGAGTTGTTGCAATGGCCACCGAAACGCCAAGAGCCGTGTTTAACTCGTCCAAATTTAGAATTAAGGGGAAAAAGAAGTGCAGCTTTTCGGTTTCGAGCATTTTGCTTGCCTTTTTTTACAGACTCAGCATCTGCCATCGTTACATTCACATTTCAGCGGTATCAGCTTATCGCGAGTTTCGCCTTTATGGTAGTTCCATTGCTGGATCATTTCATGAAGAGAAGCAAATGCTTACAGAAGAGTTTTTTTTACAAAATTTCGAACGTTACAAGATTCCGTGAAAAAAAGTTTATTGAACGCGACGAAGTTGAGCACATGTTGATGTTTCTTCTTTACAAAGCTGTGCAAAATAAAATTCTATGTAAAATTGAGCACACCCTATAAGAAGTCCAGTTTACCTTTCACAAAGTTACACTGCCACTAATGAAAGCAACTTAATGATTTCATATGGAGATAAGCATGCTTTCTACGTTCCTATTTCATGCGTAGCTACTGTACATCGATGAGTTCACTGCTTCCTTTGATCTAGTAAATGTTCACTATTGAGGCAGTGACAGCCAAGCGGTTATGAGTGTAGACACCGCACGGCGGCGGATCGACCCCCTTTGAGGTACGAGTTGCAAAATTTAGCAGGCCATTTGCAAAAAGTAAGACACAGACCCAACATGCAGCAGTGGAAGATGACTAAAGGAATCGATCGCATGCTCGTAATAAGATCTAGGAGTACTGTAAAGCACGTTGAAGTACTGCCACAAAGGAGTTTCTCTCGAGCCCAGGCTCTTCACTAGCCTGGCAGAAAATAGGAAGTTCGGCGGATTTTGGAGCCTACAAAACTTGCAGGAGGCTTACCAAAATAGCTGCCGGTGAGAAAGTGGAGACGAACGCCCGAGCTGGATAGCCGAGACGAGGCATATTCGCTGGAGGATGTTGGGAGTAGTGAGGATACCATTTTGAGGAAGTTAGCCGAAGTCAAGTTTAGGTGGCAAGGGTAGTTCGCTAGACTCTAGCAGAGACATTACAAATAGGGACGACGACTTGTTCCGTTGCACTCTGGACAAAGCACAACCTTTCTTGCGATTAATGCAGATGGCATACCAACTGAGACATGGAAGTCTTCAGAAGAATGCCTGGTCAATGTGACTGGCTCTTTACATGAGCACTATAGCTGAGTGAAAAAATGTCGGATGCTTGGAGAACTGTCTTCTTCTCCTTTGAACACAGGGAGGACACGATGGAGTAGTCGAACTATTGTCGGATCAAGTTGACTACTCGAACCATGAAACTGTACGAGCGCTCAATTTTCTAACGATGAACGAACTGGTCTGATCTTGCAGGAACCGTACGAGGTCATGCTTGCAAGGGACACGGCGAATACGGTCTCTGTCGCCAAACAACAAATGGACGAGGATCGGGAAAAGCGTCGACCCTCCTTGAGCTGGATCAGGAAGTTGGGCTTCCATCCTGACCAGTTCTGGGGAGGCGCAAGAGGGCGCAAGAGGCCTTCGGAGCATTTATCTGCTGGCACGACAGAGTTTCCGATTAAGTATCCGGTGCAGAGTGATGTGGTTGACTTAGCATATATGCGCGCTTTGCTAGGAATGCGAATGCATGGCGCATACCAAAACCATTGGTTTCAACGGTGTTCGGTAACCCATCATCTTTAGTTTCACCCTCGCATCTGATCATCGAGCAGTAGGACTCATATCACTCGTGTATTTCCTCTTGAGGAACTGCCTTTCACATACATATGGTACCTCTTGTGGCAAGTAGTTTTCTTACTGTATCTTTAATATTATTGCCATAATGTTGCATTCGTGATAATTTATTGACTGTTGGCGACTGTTCGGTGGTGGCAATGTTTGACGATGCTATTGTTTCAAGGGGTGGATAGAGGGTGGAAAGGCAAGAACGAGCTTTGAGAGGTGAGCAAATGTGAGCGTTTTCCTCGTAGACACCGACAACAATCATTTGGAGATCGTCACGTCGTTACTGTCGTCTTACTACTCCTTAGTTACTATTTCGGATTATCGAATCAACGACGGTCCACTACAGTTATCAGATCTGAAATCATCATCGTCGTCGCCATCAAATGCCGAAGCGGCCCAGCTCGGCACGTCGATGCATTCTCAGATCGCAGAAGGCCATCAACAAATCCTCATCCGAATACAGCGACGATTCCCTCGTCGCACGGGATAAGACCTTCATTAAATTCAGTGTGAAGAAGGTTTTCCCACTGGAATTCTTCCGATCGTACTCAGTTTCCACTGATCGGCCCAGGCTTTCTCTACTCGCCGCTATTCTATTCCTATTCTGTATTCTTATCGTGTTCAACTCACGTCTCCAAAAGGCTTTTCAAGGTGAACTAAAAATCATATTTCCACTTTAGTAGTAGGGGAAGGGTCTAATAGTGGCTACGGTCACACTTAAGTTGTTTCGCTGCCGATTTTGCTTGTCCTACCCTCCATCATACATCTATTCCATCTCTGGAGGTCCCTATCAAGCGAAGGTGGATTTTCAGACAACATCCTATCCTCCGCGTTACCTTATTGAACTACCTAAGCTACCGCTTGGAAAGTTATTTAATTTTTTATTTATCTACCTCTGGAGCAAAATATTTGTGTGGGAATCACAATCGAGGTCATTTCCCGCATACTATTTAGGAAACCACTCCAGAAGAGATAAGTATCAACTATAAGTAAAATTTACAAAAAAAAATAAGTGCAGAGGTTTTTTTCAAAACAGCTTTAAATAGTCTTCTGATCTGTCTCGTTTATCATTTGCAAACGTCGCGAATACAAGTTTTCCCTTTATAGGAGTGTTTTGTAAAGCGATAAAGTTTTTATGTTAGAGTTTTCAGTGTTGGGTTGGGTGGGCGCAGAAATGATGTGGCTGATAGTGTGTTGGGGCCTGATGGCGTTACTCTGCTACTTGGCTCTCAATCACCTCGGCACACGTACCACCGACGAGTCTACAAAAACTACGGTGTCGTCGGCTCAGGGAGCGCCAAACCGCCTTGACGGGTGAGTGATTGAGCTTTTTTGCATCCATCTCATTTTTCTAATAATTTCCCGTGTAATTGGGTCTTGCGTTGTGTTATGATTTGCTCCACGTGCACTAATCAAAGCCGAGCTATCAATCTTCCTACGTCTCCTTTTTTCAGATTATTTCACCATTTTCCCAGCGTTGTTACACAACGGGATATTAATATAAGAAACCGGACCAAGTGCAGGATAAGTTCCAGCTTCGACAGCAAAGTGCAAACTCTGCAAATCTTGGCACTAGGCGAGGTAGAAATAAAGGGATGGAAAATGACAGGGAAGAAATAGATGGGAAAAGAGTATTCTCATTTAGAGCAGTAGTCAAACGCCTACTGATGCAATTTTGACTGGGTAGAAAACACTTCACACCGGCGATGTCACTTTCGCTGCGCGGCTGCAGCATAGCCACTTGATATACCTTACTTTAAAGTGTAAGATACTGCTGCACCACCTTGTTCAGCTTTGATGGGAGACCTTAGATGCCCGTCAGGCTCGGCGACTGCGCAATCGCTCTGCAAACGTGCAAGCGACGGGCGTTGGCTCCGCCCACGATCGATACAGTCAGCTGTATGCTACGTGCTCTGCCCATAACACCAATATCGATCGCGGGCGGAGTCAACGCCCGTCACTTGCACTTTTAAGCCATTGCCGAGCGATTGTGGAATCGTAATCGCCGGGCTACGGCACAGTCGCCGAGTCTGGCGGGCATCTTATGCATCCATAACCCATGCCACTCGACATTATAAGTAACCTTGCGTAACGGGATCAATGGTAGGGATTAGGTGCCAAGAGGAAGTTCCTTCTAAAATGAGGAAGTGAGGTCCCGAAGCTCAATAGCGGAGGCACTGGCGCGACTCAGAAGTGCGCAGCAAGGGCGCTAAGGCCTTGCATTCTGAACTGCCGACTTTGCCACTCTATTAGTCGTAGCATATGTGGCGTTGGAGCCCTTTCGCGTACACGTGCTCTCCTGCCTTTTCTCTCTCTTTGCAGCAGTGTCTCTCTTCGTCATACTACGAACGCCTTCATGAAAAATTTTAAGGGTTTCTATGGCCTAGCTTGTCTACCGAAACGCGCTCCTCAACACACTTCTTGTCTAATTTCGAACAGAATAATACACCAATCCGATCCCGACCCGTGCTTTTAACTCGAAATCATGTTCAGTCGCCCAGGCATTGCATCGAAGTGTACATGTCGGGAAAAGGACTTTTGCAACGCAACATTTATGACCACCCTGCGCGTGACTGCATCAAGCTCTGCTTCAAGGAGGACACGATAAGTGGAGCTGAGAGAGAATGCCAGTTTGAGCGTGCGCCATGAAGCGGTCTTGCTGAGGTTGCAGGATACCATTGTTTGGTACAGCACGGGAATGACTATGTTAGCAAGATTGAACTTCAAGAAGCACAGATACGCAGCAGAAGGGCTCTCATCAAATTCGGGTCATTGGGCTGAAGTGGATAGCTGCGCTGTTCCAAGGAAGGTATCATAGTAAGCGGCTGGAAAGAAAGAGGAATGGTGACGATTCTTGGTTAGTATTTGACTAATCGTAGCGGTGGTTGATGCCCGTTTCTCACAAATTAGTAATGGATCTCAATCACTTTATCACCACATTTGTTCCCTCCCCTGCTAGACAGGCCTTAAAGGCAGTAGCCACAATAGACAGGGAGCAGTACGGCTTGATGACGTCGTTGAGCGTCGTTGGTGGACTAGATCCCTGTGGCTGGAACCGCCTCTTGGCTGCTTCCACCAACAAGGTACAATGACGTGAAACAACTGCAACGACCTTCAGCCATCGTGATCACTGCCTTCAACTCGAGCAGGTAGGAACCTGCTCGAAACTATGGCAAGACCAGCATGATCGTAGAATAATTCCATATGAACTACAAAGTTTTCGTCGGTCCTGTCGCTGATCCATCAAAGAGAAGTCCTGGTGCAGTTGAAAGAAGCTTATAAAGGGAACAATTGACTTTCCTTTGTAACTTCAGCATGTCGGAGTTGTCATGAGCTGTTCAAAATCTCAAGTACCTCTGGTGCTTCAAGTGTGTCAACATCAGACACTCACTAACTCACAGTGCATTATTCATAAAGTTCAGTTGTGGAATATTTTTTAAAACTCAAGTTGCATCTCAAAATATTCCAGCTCGAATAGCGAATGGACGAACGAAGTGTTAGCCTGGATTTACAACAACTATCTTAAAGTACCCGGACCTTTGGAAGCATGGATAAAGTCCTTAAACGACGCCGCTAAAAAAGTCAATAGACCTGTAAGTACTACATAGTAATACTTATTCAGCAAGACTTATTTTCTATGATCTCCATATAAATCTACCTACACAAACCTGGTTATGTGTTGTTTGCAGACAGAATGCGAAGTAGTGTTTGATGGCTTCGGCGACCATAGGCAGATAAAAGTACCGCCTAAAGTCAGCAACATCAGAGTTGAACATGGACCTCGAGAACATTTGGTTAGTTCTGCAATACCTCTGCTCTTCTTCTACTTACCCTGAACTCATTTTGTATTCATTGCACCTAATTATACCTGCCAAGGAGTGTTTATTTCTGCGTGCTCGGTCCCGCAGCACGCGAATATGTAGGATTTGCTCTTGCCGCTGGACAGAGATTTCACGTCTATCTAGCAAATGAATTGGTCTCAGAAGCTTCCTGCATTTGAATCCCTGGAATAAGTTTCATTAGTCCAGACGAATAGCCAAATTTTTTGTGCCCGGCGTTCGCCGCGCAGTGGGCCTCGTGGCTGACATGCACTTTCCTCAGCTACTATCCCGAGCGGGATGATCGAAGAACACCGGAATCAATCATTCATTCTAGGGTCGTATCCGGAGAAGGGGATCATTATTTTGCAGGGTCGTGGGAATAAATCGATGTTGGAAAAGTTTCATACAATCATAGGATTTCGAAAATTTTAGACGTCTCAGCAGTTCTATGTATCTCATCTCGCTCTGCCCGCCGGACGCATTGGGTTTTGGAAACTGAGTTCGAGTAGAATCCTTCAGATGTATCAGATTAAACCAATACAAATACCATCTATATCTATCTCACTATAACCTCCGCTGCGCTTTTTACTGAGCTGAATGCAACAAGTCCATTCTTGCGAGGTTATGCTAACTCTCTTTTTTCGGTATGATAACCACCATTCGAAGAATTAGAGGGAACCTGCTCCTGCATTCCAACTTCATTTTTACTCATAATTATTCTACTTCTTCCTTCAAGGTCCTTATTTCAGACACTAAGAGCAAATATTCATCTACCATGTGTGTGCCTTAAAGTCGTTTCATCTCAGCGAACGCCTGAGAGGCTTTTGGTCAGCAATTTTGATGCCAACATAGTGGATCTTCGTGGAGAGGTTGGTGCTTTCGAGAAGTTGATTGGATAAAGGATAAAAGGATAAAGCATTTGCCGTTGATCAATCCCTTTTTGGGATGCGGCACGCATTCTACTTCCATTTGTACATTCGTAGTGGCGTTTGAATGCGATGTGGCCTATACAATGACTTGCGGGGGCCAGCCGATGTACAAGTCAGTGTTTTTATCCTCCCAGACAAGTCTGGTACCAATTAACCGACCCCGGAGGGATGGAAGGCTTGGTTGGCCCGGGCGACTCACGACCCAGGATTTGATCCCCGGACCGCTCGCGTGGTAAGCGTGCCACTTGCCACTACACCACTTCCGCCCTATATCGGTCTATACTGACTACAAAACACAAAATCATCTGCAAGTATCACTTACAGTTCGATGCACAAAAGGTTCGCATTTAGTAGAAAAACGGAGCTGAAAAAAGCCTATTATTCGTTGCCCTATCCAACCGAAGTGAGTGTGGTGGTTGTGCTCAGAATCCATGAAAACAGGGATTGTCTACTCATGATATAGGGCAATGTTCTCGAGGGCTGTAGCTAAACACCCTCATGGCGTGGCCCTTACCATCTAGGACCTAGAACTCTCGGTATACTGGAGCCGCATACAGCAAGCTCCGAAGGCCTTCGGAGATGTATCCCCGACCACCTTTGGGAATTGCTGATAACGGCCCCTCTGGAATCGAAGGATTAAAAGAGGGTCAGGTTACAGCACGACCTCTTCCGTTAAAACCTCAAAGGACTCAGCTTAGGACGTCCATTAGGATTTCCTAACAAGATGATCCTATTTTGAGATCCTGGGGCACGGGTGGGTCTATTCACAAAAAGTGGTCGTTTTTGGGGAGGCATGGGGAGAATCGTGAGGTTCAAGGTTGGATTTTTTTCCGAAATTTGGAGAAATTTCAAGAGTTTCGCTTGCCCAAGTGTAATATTTACCTCACCCGATTCTAAAGTTTCAAGCGGGTTTTGAATTGTGCCAATATGAAGCAGGTTTGATGGTGCTTTGAAC